ACCCCTCAAAATAAACCAAAACACTTCAAATCCGTTCTTGGAGTGTTATTGGTGAAGTAGTTTTTAAAAAAAAAAAAAACAACACATCTCTGTTTCACCTGGGACGGTATTCATATGATAATGAACATGTATCATCAAAGAGAATCTTACGACTCTGACGAGGAGGAGAAATGATGCTGTTTATTACATTTGCATAATCTAAAAGATTGTTACGCCAAGAGCCGTTTAAACATCAGCGTATGACAGAGGTTGTTCGTTTTAATTGCCGTGAATTGCAGCGCGGACCATTCACCGTTTGCAAATCACCGTTTAGCGAAACTCATTATCAAGTCAAGTCTTCCTTTGATTCGCTCCTCACGGAACCACTGATGAATATATGAGGGTAAAAATAGCATGTTCTCTGCCACACCTGTGGAACACACCGCCACGCTAGTCAGCCATAGGCTGAAGGCAGCAAACCCCTCCGTGTTGTTACCCCGTTGCCCTCCACGGTGTATTTTCTTTTGTTCAGCCTCAGAGAATGTCAACAACGTATGGAATGTCTCAGGTTTTTCGGGTTCAGCGCTGCATGTTTGAGGAGGCTGTCAGTTCTATAATTGGTCGTCTCTGTGTCTCTGGGTTTTCTTCAGATCTCCCGCTTGTCAATCTTTCCGTGGAGCCGCAGCCTGTTCTGGAGGGCAACCTGGTGAAATTCCACTGCTCAGCGAAGGCCAACCCTCCAGTCACGTACTACAGGTGAGTAAAAGAGAACGCACTCCTCCATAAACACCAACAGGAAGTGGAAAAGTTCAAAGTTCCTCAGGATCATTTTATTGGAGAATAGTTTTTTTTTTTTTTCTGGTTTTGTCAAATTTTCCACTTCATTACCGAGGGTATTTATCACTGCCACACAGACAGATATCTGCCCCCACTTGGAGAAGACGAGCAGAACAACATTATCGCGAACGCACGTACCGATACGTTTGAGTGAAATGACACCTCAGAAAAACTCATTTGGGCCAAAACTTCTGGTTCCACCGAGGTGTAAGACAGAAACGCGACGCTTTGTTGGAAGTCATCGACCGTGGCCACGACATTTTCCCATCAGCGTGTTGACAGAATGTTAATGTTATACCGTCTACGATGTATGATGGCGCTATGAGAATTACAAAATTATTACTACCGAGATACTTTACACTGATGACTGCATTGTGTACTCTAGGTAGAGTTTCATATTAGAATTCAAACGAGGAATACTCGAGTATTTATTTGAAAAATCTTTTTTTTTTATTTGATATTCCGACGTCTGTGGACACGTTCACTCACGTTGTACAGATGGAGTCAACATAAACCTCTCTTTAACAAACCCGTACTCTCCAGAATGCAATTCTGTTTGACCAATCCTCCGCGGCTGATTGGTACCAATACTCCAACGTTCTCAATCTCCCCCAAGAAGTCCTTCAAGGTTAAGTGCTCGGCCACTGCTTTTTTTTTTTTTTTTTCCCTCCATCGTCCTGTAGACGCTTAACCTCCGACACATCACACACCATCAAGGCCTCCGTTATTATGCTGATGACAAACGGTTCTACATCTTTACCACATCCGTCACTCGGACCTTTGTCTCCACGATCACAAACTGCTTTACTGCAGTACTGCACGTACTGGAAGTGGAAAAACACACCTAAAACACCCATGTTTTTCCTGAAATCCATCGACTACTACAATAACGATCTGCACATTTGCATGTATTTTTCCACCGTTATATTCAAATATATTTATATACCTTTCTTTTCATATATTTTAACAACAGAACTGTGTTCTCTCCCACCCACTGATTCAGCTGCTCACTCCTTCATTACCTCAGAAGAGTACGACAATGTACCACGCATTTTAAAATATATTTTTATATTGAAAATACAATTAAGCCTTCATTACCTCAGAAGAGTACGACAATACCACGTATTTTATTTTATTATTATCATTGACAATATTATTAGGTGTAAAGGTATATAATAATATACACATACATATAAACATATAAAATATATTTGTAAAACCAAAACGTAATCTGCCCCCGTCTGGCTCGGTGTTTCTGTGGTCCATTTTAATTAAGACACATTCAACTGCACTCGTTAGTCTGTATTTGCCAAATAACAAAAATGGACGTTCATTACTCCAATTATACCCCTGTGTGGCATTCCAAGAATGACACTGAAGTCATTCGTCATAAGATGGATTTCTGCAAAAGATGTTTTCTTTTTTTTTTTTGTTTAAAAAAAAAAAAAAGAAAAAAAAGGGAGCCAAAAAATAAATTGAATTAAATCGATCGCAGGGTGAATTGGCCCTCTCTGAATCTTGTAATGGGATTGGGAAATCAAATGGATGTACAACACACTCACAGGTGGCAAAATAGAGATCTTGCCTTTTTTAATGGATTTGGCCCTTCTGAAGCAGCCAGGGAGGGCAGAGACATTGTGGAAAACAAGATTTGTATTTGATTGTGTAGGTGCACAGCAGAGACAGGACATATATTGTGCCTGCAGTGGGATTTCTCCTCCATTGTTATTACGGTGGATCAATGCTAAAACCCAAGCTCTCCCCGGGGTATTAAGGCCCAAGATGCAATAGGGGACAAGATGACTTTTACTTTCTGGAGGAAAACCAGTGAGTACAGAAATGATTTAAAAGAAACTAAAGCTTTTTTTTTTTTAAACCCTTTCATTAACAAACCAGAGAGAAACATGGTACACGTTGATTTTCTAAATGAAGTTCTAATGTTCAAAAAACAAACAAAGATTCCATTCCATTTATGAGGAGACAAAAGACAAACAGGGACAGGTCAGGGACACACTGTCCAGCCCGCACTACAGATTTATCTCCTATTTAAAATGACTGGAACAACATAAAGGTCTGACAATGATCATTGAATACAAAACCTATTTTAAATAACTTTTTTAATAGCTTTTTTTTAACATATTGTGTGGTTGGTTAAATAATTATTTTCTTTCTCATTTTTCTGTCTCAAACTGTAAGGACTGGAGTGCATTTGTAAATTAAAACATATCCCTATCAACATCTTTGGCTTGGACCGCCTCTCTCCCTCGCACCCTCTGTCCCTCTGTCCCTCTCTCCCTCTGTCCCTCTCTCCCTCTCTCCCTGTCGTTACATCACTAAACACCGGCTGATCATGGCGTAACACGACTGTAACTTCAGATACGAGATAAGAAATCTAAAAAATCCTGTTTCTGGGTTTTTATACACGTCCTTCGATCCACCTTAACGCTGCAGTTCACTGGGGATATTTGGGCCCCGTAATGCCTTCCTCAGAGGCTTTGACAAGAAAGAGCCCCCCACCACTTCCCCCTCCAGAGAGCAATATCACAGAGGAGAGGAGAAAGCTGGTCAAGCGGTGTGGGGCCATTATTCAGTACTAATACACTCTGTCCGTTTTGCTGAATCTGATCTCCAGTTAGACAGAGCACTCCTTAGACAGATGGCCTCTTTTCTTCCCCCCCAGAGGACCATCCATTCCCAGTGTGCACTGCACCATTTTGCAATGCTCATGTGAAGTGGCCTCCTGAGACTTAGGTTCCAAATAGTGCAGGTAGTAGACAAAGGTACGGTGTTTCTCTGTCGTCCACGGCCTCCTGTTAGATTTCTCCTCCGGTTCCATAAATCTGACTTTCAACGTGGAATGGCAGAGAAGATTTATTTCTGCAGGAACACGGACCAGTGCTGCATAGAACTTAGAGGGGGTGAGGTGAGAGGAGGAGGAGGGGAGGAGGAGGGTGAGATGAAAGTGGTTCTGAAAGAATGAATGGTGGAGGAATAATGTGGATGTATTTCAGACGGCTCTCGGGGAATCGACACACCGAGGCGCAGAGACGAGTGGGCCGGCACATTTTCATCCTGTTCAGTTAATAATAAGAGGAGGGCTAACTGCATACATCAACATCACAACGCCACCTTCTGACAAAGACACAGATGCTGGGCTTATTTTTTTAAATTTTTTCAAACATGCAAACGAGAACCTCCTAAAGACAAAAGAAGGAACAAAAACAAAGGCGATCGTCTGCACGTCCACTCATGAACAGAACGACAACGCAGCCATCGCTGTCGTGCTGTAGCAAACGTCTAAATCCTCATCAGTCTGGTGGGGGGGCAGGAGGGGGTGGGGGGGTATCCAATCTAAGAGTCATGGGGTGAGGGTGGGGGTAAAGTTCACCAGCTGACAGCAGAGCCACATATAGAGACAAACGACCACTTACTGCAGTGAACAGTCGAGCTAACGGCCAATCAGAGCAAACCAGAGAACACGCAAACTCCATACAGACAGACCAGGGTTTGAACCAGCAACCTTTTTTATCATTAAGTCATCACCAAATGACCACATGTATATATTTAAGAACCTACTGGGAGAAAAACAGTTTTTCATTCTTTTCATTATTGTGTTGTTCAACTTGAATCAACGTCCAATTATATCACTTTTTCTTAAACTTAGCACAGCTTAGTGTTTACTAAGTTTTCTTACATGAAGGAATAGTTATAGATTTTTTTTAATTATTATTCCTACGGCTCGTGGATAGATAGAGATTTTTTGATACTTTTCACTAAATTTGCGTCCAATTATACTTCATTCTGTTGACAATACACCATCGGTTCTGGTCCCATATGAACAAACCTCAGCCTCAGTCTTTACGTTTGGACTTGTTTCGTTTTTCCGTTTGAATTTCCATCTAAACCAAAGCTTTTTTTTTTTCTTTCGTTTTTCCGTTTGAATTTCCATCTTTTTCTACACGGCGTGAGACTGTGTTTGAATTGTCTGTTCATCGCAGAATTCCCACGTCATCTCTCACAGTGGGCACGTTAGGATGAATGGAACCACACTGGGCGGTGATTACCCGTGCTGATAATAACCACGGCTTCTGATTTACTGCGAACCTCATCGCTGATGGCATAAATACCGCTCTAATCTTATCGTTACTGTTTCATTGACTTAATCAGTTTCTTGCAGAGAGCGTAGTCTCCACCGTCAGGTCTTAGTCACTATTTCGTTCAGTTCCCTCCGTCAAACGCACACCGGTGCCATCCCGTCTCCGTGTCAGACACTGTTGCCCACATGAAGACGGCGTCCACTCAGAGTGTGACTGTTTGTTCAGTGGATCAGATACAGCAGCAGTGGGAAGTGACTCATCCTTCCAGAGAGGCTGCACCGGCCCCTGGCCTCATATAAACAAAGTGCAGGTGTTTGTGTAACCTTCAGCAACTTGTGTTTAGACACGGGGTTTGGACAAGACGGAACACAGCAGCAGAACTCTCAGGTTCCCTGTGGACGGTGCCATTCTGTCTCCGCTGCCACTAACACTGTCAGAGGCAGTAAAACTCTCCACTCAGGAGCAGACGTCTGCCCAAACATCCGTCCGTCCACCAGGCAGGTGGAGGTGAAAAAAATAAACTGACTCACCTTCAGATTTAGAACCAGATGATCAGCCACTATTACACTGTTCCAATTCTAGTAAAAATACAAATATTAAAACGTTTTATTAGCAGAATTAACACAAAATATCCATGTTTGAAAACTTCAAACTGCCCCTTTTATCTGAGGCTATTTTTTATGTACTTTTGTATCTGGTTAGAGCTGGTTCTCAGTTTAGGCAGATATTTGTATCAATATTAAACTTGTTAAGATAAAAATATTAAATATTGGACTCAAACCAACGTATTTTCTTCCTTTATGATGGAAATGACTTCAACGTACGTTGTGTTCTGTTAAATATATTCACTTTATGATAAAAATTAAATCTCAAAATCATCTCTCGTTCCACGACTTTACAAATACGCCAGTCTGCGATTCCTGCTCGTGTTTCTGTTACTGCGGTTATTAACGATATAATAATACAGTACCTCGCCAACGTCATCTGCATATCAAAATATATTACCATACTGTAGTTGCTGCAGTATGGTTGAACGCAGCAAAGTTAGCTTTTATTAGGTGTTATTAGGGTTTTCTGTGTTTCTCCAGTTCTCCGTCTTCTACACCAGAACAAGTCTTGGAAGAAGAAAAAAAAAAAAAAAACCTCCAGTGCCATAAAACAAAATCAAAAATCCCATGAAACCCAATTGAAATTCTGCTTCACTTCACCTACTGATTGAAGGAGGTAATCTGTCCTCATTTAAACGATAGCGTTTCAGTCATGCATGGGACGAGTTTAGTCATGGAAAACAAATGAGTTCCCCAGCCTGTGAAACTGCTCTTCTAGGGTTCTGTCAGGAATAAAGATGGAGACAGGCACCCATTCTGTTGTCACTGTTCTCACTGGCTCCATCAGTATGCAGCAGCCTCAACTGTGAACGAAGGGGAGGGGCGGGGGCCAGTGTTTGGACACATGAGACGTTGGTGGTCCCACAGACCTCCACGAACACCTCGTCTACTGAGACAAAGTGAGACATGAGTTTGGTCACAACTTAACGCTCGGGGAACGTCTCCGTCCCGTCGTCGCAGGAAGCGTCAATCAGGAACACGTACGCGATCCCATGTCAGTTTATTAGCATGAGCCGCTGCGTGTCATGCAGCATGTGCCAGCCAACGTCTTCAAAGGTGGAGAAGAAACCCATTTGTCATTTTGTGATTTGTTTTCCTTGCTGGCACCCTGTGCTGCACTCTTTGCCTAGCGTAATGAGGAGCGTGCTGTCTGCTTTAAGTTGCCGGGGAGCTTGTCACAGCATGGAAGGCTGCCACGAAAAACGCTGAAGCCAGCACAGGAAGCGTGGCCCAGAATGATGATTTATTTACACAAAGGAAAGCAATTGACATAAAAAATGTGTGAAAAGCCCGTCTGAACGTGTTTCTTCAGCGTTTCCCTTTGTCTCTTCCTACACCAGGTGGGCCAAAGGAGGCAGTATAATCAAGGAGGTCTCTGGAGACACCTATGAGGTCATTGTGGACCACTCCTTCTTTTCAGAGCCCGTTTCCTGTGAGGTTACCAACCCTCTGGGCAGCACCAACATCAGCCGTAACGTTGACGTTTACTGTGAGTGCAGCCGTCCGTCACTTCCACTGCGGTACCGTCACTGAGACGGTTTGGACGACTGCTGAAACTGAACGTTTTTACAATGTTTATCTCAACAGTTGGCCCCCGTATGGCTGCAGAGCCTCAATCTTTACAAGTGGACCTCGGCTCTGACGCAGTGTTTAACTGTGCTTGGACGGGCAACCCCTCACTAACCATTGTTTGGATGAAACGAGGATCCGGAGTGGTGAGTAAACTGATAGCAGACGCTGCGACAACCCAAAAGTTCAATTATGATACGACTATTTTTGTGAGGCATCCAAGACAAACTGGGCTCAAGATGTTCTGTGTAGCCATTATGTTCCATAACCAGGAGCTTTGCAACGCTCCTCCAAGACGTGGAGGTCTTAAAGTCCCGGCCTTCTGCTGACCTGTCAACAAATCTGTTGATTTAATCCAAACTCAGACTAATATCAACTCTCATATGTCAACATAAAAGAAGCTAGCCTCTATAGCTAGCCTCTATAGCTAGCCTCTATACTCCACCGTGGCCAGACCTTAAATTGGATTTTAATAATTGAGGAGACCTACTCTTTAAGGTATTAAACCGCCAACCTCACTGCTTTATTTTATTTTTTACTTTTCCCAAATCCCGGCCTGGTTGCCATCTCAAAAGTAAAATGCACCTTTGCTGTCATTTCACTTGATGATCTCTGTCTTGTTCCACCGCAGGTTCTTAGTAATGAGAATCTCCTGACGCTGAAATCTGTCAGACAAGAGGATGCTGGGAAATATGTTTGCCGTGCCGTGGTCCCCAGAGTAGGAGCAGGGGAGAAGGAGGTTTCTCTTACTGTCAATGGTAAGATGTATTGTTGCTGTGACTTTCAAACACACACCCACAAAGTTGTCAGATGTGTGCACATGCAGTACAAGTGTGAATGTTCAGGTCCGGGGGTCAGTCCTGGCAAGACGAGGCAATTTGTCACAGTGGCTGGAGTTGTGCTGGCTCCGTGGTTTACAAAAGTTTTTTTTGTTTTTTTTTTCTACATAGAAAATAGTATTTGCTGCATCCTTTCTCTTCTGTGGTAATTTTTAGTGCAGCAGTTTCTTGGAGACATGGTTAATTTTACCAGATGGGTGCAGTAACAAATCACAGGCCTTATTACCCCCCCCCCAACACACACACTACACTCTCTCTCACACACACACACACCCCATGTAACTTGTTGGGTGCATGAAAATTCATTTTCCTGATTAAAGATAAAAAAGCTGTTTCATCAACAGTCTTTTCAAGATACGGTCACACATTTAATAAGCAGGTGAAACGCACTACGATGCTAATTATATTCCAGGCTAGTAACAGGGACACTGTCTTTTCTGAGGCACTGAGTGACTAATGAATACAAGCCTTGCTGAGAGACCTGGCAAGTCTCAAACAAATGACTTCATTATCGGTGCTTGATATTCCGGGGGCATGCTTTGGTGGGGCAGAGGTTTTTTTTAGCCATGAGTTTTACATGTCTTTCATTTTCCCTCCTGTCCATCTGATGGACACCTGGAACGGGGGGGGGGGGGGGGGGGGGGGGGGGAGGAAGGAGTTTGAAGATGTTTACAAAGATGAACGGAGATTTGTCAAAAACCCCTTGAAATCTTCCCAGTTCATTTAAACATCCTTTCTTTTTATTTTCTATTATTTAATACCATAAAATAAAAAACCTATGATTTGGCTTCATATTTGAGCATCAGGCCCTGGTTATTTTATCACGTGTTAAAAAGACTAATTATAACGTTAGCTTCGGTGGCTGCTGCTGTAGCAGCGTACTGTACGTTGCAGGCTGTAAAACAGAAGTTGCTAAGTTGCTAACAAAGATAGCTGAGTAACCTACAGGTCAAGTCACCGCCATGTGGCCAAACAATGCTAGGCTAGGCTAACAAACAACCATCAACTCAGGTTTGAGAAAAGTTTCATTAGCTTGACTAAAACAAATGTTATTTGTGTCAACTGTTTTTATCTATATTTTATATTGTATCTACTAAAACAAATGTTATTTGTGTCAACTGTTTTCTACTATTACTACTATTGTATCTACATTTTTACATTTTGTTATTTATTCAATTATAATTTGAATTTACATAAAAATAAAGTAAATAAAGTAGGAAAGGATAGGATTGGTGAAACTAAGTTTCTAATGAAAACAGCTGATCACGTTCCTACGGTTGTGTTTTAAAAACCAAGCCTGGATGGATGGATTCCAACCACTGCTCCTCGTCACTGGTTCCTAACAGATAGCAGAGAAAGTAGGACAAATGTGTTTCCTAACAGACCAACTCTTTGGTCAGCAGTCTCCACGGACATTCTTCACGCAGCTCGACGGCGTACGGCGGCCGCCTTACGTCCACAGCACCTATTATTTTTGATGCATTTGGTTTTTACTTTACGTAACTGTGGAGATTAAGTGTTTTCTAAAGAAAAAAAAAAGTGCGACGCTAGAATGATGATGGATCGTCATTATAACGGTTTTTCACAGAACGACTGAATCTTTATTTGTGCAGACTTCACTTAAAGAAAACCAAGATGAGTGGTTTTCTGTTTTCTATTTTTTTTTTTTTACAGAGCTGCACCAAACTCTGTGTTTGACATTTAAAACCCTTCAGGCTTCACCTTTGTCAATAATTTACATACATTCATCGGCCTGAAGAGTCCTGAGTATTTTCCCATCAGTCTTTGAGGTGGATCTCTAGATTTATGAAATGTCAACGGTGCAGACGACATCGTAGAAAAGCCGCCAAAAAAAAGTATGAATTTCCCAGCCTTTCTGGGTCAACGTCAAACAGTGAGGACTGACCTGAGTTCAGATCCCGTCACTTCGTCGTCACGCAGCCAACGTCAACGAATGAATGACGCGTCTGCACCACTGTCACAATACAGTGAGAAAAACAGGTCTGAAAACCCAGACTGTTGACGACGCAGCAGCCGCTGTTGCTTTTTCAAATCTTCTTTGCTTTTGGTTCCCCCTGCAGAAATCCCAGAATTCCATCACTGCCATTATTTAAATAACATGTGTTTATAATTTGTCATTCCTCCGTCTCTTCCCTCTCCGCTCTTGTGTGTCACTTCCTCCCACTGTGGCGTAGCGCACAGACATGAAGATCTCCACCTTCCCTGGGGAAGAACCTAATTTAATTATAATCAAACAGCTAGCAGGGGATGCGGTTTGTGTTTAAGTCACTAATGGATACACATTGCCTTCCCGAGTCAAACATATTTAAAATGCAAAGCTCCTCAGTATCTGGCTGTACGCGCATCACATCCTCCAAGTGCACTCCTATGCATGTAATTATTTATGGAGCATATAAATTACACGCATATATTTTCCGATGTCCTGCAGTGGCTGGAAATGAGAAAATTATGTGATATGGATTTGCCTTGTACATGTTCAAGGAACACAGATTCATGCAATACATAATAATTAATATAGCAGCGTGTGCGAGTTCATTTGCATAGCCATTATATTTCTGTGCATGTGCAACAGACACGTCGAGCGGTCGGACTGCCTGCAGAGAAGAAGCCCACGTTCACAATAGAAGAAAGAGTGGAGAGAGCAGAAGCCAATAACCCACAGAGTACTGGTTGTTAGTGGAGAGAGCAGAAGCCAATAACCCACTGAGTGCTGGTTGTTATGGACCTTTTCTCTCTCTCTCTCTCTCTCTCTCTCTCTCTCTCTCTCTATCGAAGCAGCTTTTATGTTCTTCACTAATTAGCATTCCAGCTTCCTTTAGACTAGCAATGACAACATCCTGTATGAGCGGAGGAAGCAGAAAATTAATGAGGAGGAAAAGTGCATTTAAGTTGCTGCAAAAATTTTTTATCTGACCAACACATTTCAAGTACTGCGAGACGGGATCGCTGAAACTTTCTGCGAGACGTTGAACCCACTTTTCACATTTGGAACAGCCGTCACTTTAACAAACCCCACCAGACTCAGACGATAAATAATCATGTGTGAAAAACACTCTCAATTTATTCTCTCCCCAGTCTGGAAATATACTGTGAGGGTTCCTGACAAAAACACTGTAGTTCATTAAGACCATTTTAAGACAAGTATAATGTTTTAAAACAAAGAACGGTGGTTAAAAAAAGCAGATGAGGACGAATGTTTTTTTAATCATAGGAAATAACCATCATTACACCGAGGCCAAAGAGTGAAGTCATTCAACCTCCTTTTTTAAGAACATATAAGTAAAGCTTTGAAATGCGAGGTCCAACTTTTAGCCTGTATTTTTGTGCGGTTTAACATTAATCATCAACTACACAAAAGAACGGAGGTTCTAAAAACAGAGTCAGAGCCAAAAAAAAAAAAAGGCCAAGTGAGGTGAAGTATTTAGAGAAGATAACGTGGGTTTTTACAGATACTGTATTTAATATAAAAGCACGGTTTGGAATTTCACAAACGTTCCCATGATAACAGCTTTTTCACACGGACACAACTGTTAGAAAAAAAATACTTCCTCACTTTTGCCACACAAAAGACTGTTGTTAATATTCTAAAGAAACGGCGAAAACATGAAACAAATACCAGCATCGTTAACTAAAGTCAATTAAACAACCGTCTTCAGTTGTTTCTGCAAAAAAGAGTGTTGTTGTTGGAGCAGCTACGGCGTAAAAACACGTATCACACTCAGGTGATTAACTAAGTTAAACTTAGGTTGACCAAGAAACGGCTATCAAGTATCTGTATACACTCAGGTGATTAACTAAGTTAAACTTGGGTTGACCAAGAAACGGCTATCAAGTAAAAACTGACCTTTTTTTCCCGTATATTTTTCAAAGCTAACGAAATAAAAAAGCGATTCTGCTTCTAAAACCGCTCGTCCAATCATCATGAAAGCTGACCTTCCATCACCATCGACCGCTTCCAGCGCAGGAAGTGAACTTTTGGCGTCATTAATCCAGTCAGCACCTAGCCGCGGTTGTAAACAGAAGCTGTTTTGATCAATGCTGAGCATCAATAGGGTTTAATACGGACAAGTAGGAGGTGAAAAAAAAAAAAAAAAAAAAAAACTACGACAAACAGCTGATTCCTAACGATCTACTCTGGAAGTGACGGGTTCCTCAGGATCTCCAAACTCCAGGCCCACTGAAGTAAAGAAAGGCATCATGGGTAACTTCCCTGCCGCTTCTGTTAGCAAGGTAGTTTTAAACCACATTTACATACAGACTCATTAAAAATGCAGTTTTACAATTCTAAACACATTTATTATTCAGTATGATAATAACCGAGACGCCTCATTTAGTTCTGAATGTACAGCTATTACGCCGGCTGATCCAATTAGATGAAGCAGCTCAGTTACTGTATCTTCCCCGTTTGCAGTTACTGGCTTTACGCAGTACGAGACTATGTGATCATTAATCAATTTATATATTTAAAAGTATTTGGCTACTTATCGCCACAAAAACATATTTTACACGGTTGCCATTCTAAGAACACACTGCATCTGTTGGACATGAAATTAGCTGCTCCACTCCTGCAGCAGCAGCAGCAGCAGCAGCAGCAGCATCGGCGGCGGTTTTTTCAACATCCTTCAGTAACATACCAAGACACCATCTGGCAAACGCTCATTAAAATGCTAATTCATTTTAATAAGAGACAGGTAATAAACTGCAATTATGTATCGTCAGAGAAATGGCAGAGAGCAGGAGTTGGAGAGAAGTTGGCGGAGAAGTGAGTTGTCTCAGTAATCAGGACGCCGCCGCTCTCTCCGCCCCCTCACGCTCACATTCTTCACCTTATTACGGCGGATGTTTGATTTGAACAGCGGCCTTTCTCCAAGACACATAAAAATATTAGATGAAAGTCTTTGTTATTTATGTGATGTGGCTCAGTTAGTGATCAAAGGAAGAAGGAAACACGGCGTCGACTGTAAAAACCAAAGGTAATATACGGTATCTCACTAGTACACGGACTCACGAGTTTCTAGTTTTCAGCCGAAGACACCAAACAGGCTACGACCACCTCTGAATTTACTGTATTTTCCAGACTATAAGTCGCACTTTTTTTGGCTGGGTTTGCGACTTATACTCAGGTGCGACTTGTATATTAAAATATATAATTTCACTGGTTTGTTTTATTCACACTGAAGGCCACTAGAGGGCACTCTAGGCTTGTGTACCAGTATCTGCCACTTCTGCAATACTGAAATTTGTTCATTAAATTCACAGTGACAGCCCCTAGAGGGCACTGGTGCGACTTATACTCCGGAGCGACGTATAGTCCAGGAAAATACGGTATACAACTATATTCAAGCTGACCTATCGTACAAGCAACGGTGCCGAGTATTTCTGAATTTTCTGAAGTAGTAAAAATGACTCCGAGGACACACACCGACAGAACCAGGTCATGCGTGACATCTTGTCTTCATACGTGTGTGTGTGTGTGTGTGTGTCGCCCAGTGTGAACAGCCTCCAGAACAGATGGCGGACCAAGCAGTCAAGAACTTTGAGCTTTCATAAATACAGTTATCTAAGAGTGTAGTAGAGACGATCGGATAAGAGACCCAGATAATCTGTAAGGATCGTTCTAGAAGCGCAGAATAAAATCCAAAGTTGTTTTGGTGTCGTACGGTATTACTTCAGGGTCAAACGTGTTTGTGACCGGCGCTCTCCCTTCCATCGGTGTCGTCCTGATTACACTCCAAACAACCGCTGGAGCGCTCGCTCTCTCTCTCCAGCAACGTTTATCTCCATGGGAGAAATCAAAGCAGCCATAAATCAACAATTTGTTGATCTACTCCAAGGTCTCAGCCCCCCCCCCACCTGCCCTTCAGTCAGTCCCCGTGTGTCCTTGACTAGATGGTACCAGGGGATGAGGCGTATTCATCCTGCTCCATAACACAATTTTCTGCTAGATTCCCAAATTACCAAACACTTCAGGTGTTACTGCCTGGAACAGGGGAGCGATTACAACATAATGTTCCACAAGAGCTCGATTGAACACGGTTCTCATATGACCTGAAACTGAAAATGACTTTAATTATTCATGTTTCAATCTCTTTGACTCATCCTCCAACTTTCTGTTTTATGATTTCCTCTTCCAGGGCCACCTACCATCTCCAGCACTCAGACGCAGCAGGCGCTGCACGGAGAGAAAGGACAAATCAAATGTTTCATCCGAAGTACGCCACCTCCAGACAGAATTGTGAGCACCGGTTTCTTCTTTGCTTCGTCTTTAGCTTTTTTTTTTTTTTTTTGCGAGAAAACGTCTGATAGCACAACGAGGTCTCTCATGTCTCCATGGCACCAGGCTTTGAAAAAACAAAACAAAAAAAGAGTAGAGCGGTGTTTAATGACTGTGTCTGAGGACGGACTCTTAACTCGACCGTCTGATCTGTTTAACGCACACGGCCAGAGATTTCAGAATCAAATAATGAGTTGTTTTTTCCAATGAAAAGGTGAGCGTGAAGCTCCGGTGGAGCTCAGTGATCACAGCGACTCTGATCACGTTAGGATTTATGCACCTAATATAAACAAGAGTCTCTACCGTGTGTGTGTGTGTGTGTGTTTGCATATGCATGATAGTAATTGCCATATTTTTTTTCACCTAATGTGCAGTTATTATATCCATGTCCAGAATAAAGTAGCGCCGTAATTAATATCAGCCTGATTAGAGAGGCGTTCCTGCAGGAACTGTCTTGTTATCTCAGCTCTTTATGCTGAAAAGTCACACAGTACATGTTTAAATAAGTCAATATTTACCTGAGTATTAAAATAAAACCTCAAATCAAGGTAACATTTACCGCTCAGTATTTGTACTCCTCTGTGTAACGAACCGCCGGGGTTAACGAGCGTGAAGTTAGACTTCATCTGTTTAAACGAATTTTCTCGTCTGTCACTGAACGCAAGGAATTGTAATAGTTCTCCAAACAACGCAGTCTTTAGGGTTTATTTATTCATAGTCTCATTTATGTCACCAACTTAACAACGTCTTAAAAGAACTATGTCAAATGATAGTCCGACTCCATATATATGCGCATATATATGCACTATATACGTGCACATATATATACACATATATACATATATATGCGCATATATATACATACATATATATTCACATATATAGATATATATGCACACATATATATACATATACATGCACATATATATACATATATATGCACATATATATGTATATATATATAGAGAGAGTATATTCCCACAGTTCAGTGTATATATTAAATGTGTTCATGTTAAATGTGTCTTCTCCCAGGCTTGGTCCTGGAAGGAAACAGTTCTGGAGTCTGGAACATCCGGCCGCTACACCGTAGAGACGGTAACCACGGAGGAAGGAGTGATCTCCACGCTGACCATGAGCAACATCGTGCCGGCCGACTTCCAGACCATCTACAACTGCACGGCGTGGAACAGCTTTGGCTCCGACACCGAGATCATACGCCTTAAGGAACAAGGTGGGAGCCAAGGTCCGACAGGTTCCACCTTCCNNNNAGGTTCCGCCTTCCTCTTCTTCACGTCACGTCACGTCACGTCACGGTGGTTTTGTGAAAGTGGATGGTCGACGGTAGAACTGTGTTGTCGTCTGTGTTGGCGTGTGTTCAGTGTGTTGCTGTAGTTGTGTAACCACAGGTGGATGTATCTGTATGTGTGTGTGGGTAGTAATCCAGTCGAAACTGGTAATCCATCAAACTAACACAAACAACAGAACCGTTAACGGCTTCGTTTAACCTTTGATGAATAACCAAGTCAAAGGATTTTTTTTTTTTTTCAAACGTTTGGGTCCAACTCCCCGTCGGCATAACAACAGTTTACCACGTGACATATTCTCCCAGTTCGAACTTTACACTCGATACGTGTTGACATTTTCCCCCCTCCCCTCTGTGAGGAGAC